CCCAGCTGGATACCACCCCGTCCACTCACAGCTACCACCAGAGAGAGGAGCCAGGCTCTGCACCACTGTCATTTAAATGTGAAATGAAATGTTAAATGTTTCCTTTTGTCCCGTTTAGATTGGCCTGGAGGACAGCCTTGGGAAGCTTTCCTGCATATTGGAGAATGACCATTTTGCTATCGTTGTACACGAGCAAATGCAGTGTAGGTATCTGCAGAGGAACTCTGTGGGCTTTGTGGAAATGTTTGAGAGGGGAATGGAAATTCTCAAACTGAGAGTGGAAAGTATCACTGCAGCTGCTCCAGCTGTGCAGCCCCTGAGCCTTTGCAGGAAGGATTTCTGCCTCAAGGCTCTGCAAATCCCTGGAATTGCCAGCTATTCACCCATGTCTTTTCCTGACACCACAGGGATGAGGAGAGAGGGGGGAAGCCTTAACTACAGGACCAGCACACTACTGGATGTGTGTTCTGGAGGAACACTTCCCAGATCCTGGCCATGGGAGCTGTGTTGTGCGCCCATGCAGGTGTAACACTGAAGCACCCATCAACTCCATCCCTTCACCCTATCCCATGGTTTCCCATGGAAAAGGTGTTCCCAAGGTATTCATTATGGGGTTTCATTAGGTCCCCTCTGACAGCCAAGGTGGACTGTAGATGACTGCAGGGGTGCAGTGCCTGTGCTGCACAGCGCTTGTCTCTTCACGTTGAATTCAAATCACTGCCTTGCTGGTTGTGGGCAGCACAGGAAGCAAGGGGGGATTTAGGGATCTCCATAGACTTCCATAACCCGAGGGCAAGGCCAAAAGGAGTGTTTGGCCACGCTAGGTGAAGCTTAGGTGGAATTCAGGCATGTAAGTTGAGAAAGCTGAGAACAAATGGGTCAGACCAGGAGCAAGCCCTGTGGCACAGGCAGGTGAGTCGTGGGCATTGATGTTTGTAGCCTGGGGCACCTGTGCATGAGACTTACCTGGACCATGGCTGGGCATAGGAATGCTCTGCCAATTCAGGAGCAATTCAGTCCAACAAAGCAGCCATACCAGCAGGTTTGGTTTATTCTTAATCCACTGCACATCCACCCTCTCCTTGGTGCAGCAAACCGACTCAGTATGAGTCACCTGCAGCAGGACCACAGCAGCATGAGGGCTGCTGACACATTGATGGCAGCAGGGATCACACCTTGTTCCTCCTCTGACCAAAAAAGGTGCTGTTCTGCAAACCTGACCTAACACACCTTTCCAGTGCCGTAAAACTTCTACGAGTACAAATTTGACCTTATCTGGAGGGAGTTGCTTTGTTGAAAAGAGTGAGCAACATGAAAAAGCAGTCAGAAGCCACAAGCTGAGGTCTAGCAATTTAGAGCTGAAGGGTATAATTATGTTGATTTGATGGGATTGCACACTGAGCCTGCAAAGCATCCCTCCTGTGAGCAGTGTCCAGTACTGCCAGCAAGGGGCTGCCTGCTGAACTCTGAGCCTCTGGAACCCACCAAGCCCAAACATCCCAACCCCTCTGCTTGTATCTCCAGGACCTGCTGGCCCAAAATCAGCTCTAAAGCTTGCAAATCCAGCCATCAAAAGGTTGCAAACAAAAGTCTGTCATTCAAAACTGCCTTTGATGCATGTTTCCAATTCTGTCACAAAAAAATAATGCTAGGCAGAACTTCCTTTCTCAACTACGTTGTCATAAAACAATTTCGCATCACATTTTGATATAAATTAAATGGTATCAGCAAATTAAATGGCACCCACCAAGAAACATCAGCCAGCTGTATGCAGTGCCTCTTGCTCTGGTTTTCAAACAACATCCCCTTTCTTTTCCAGAGCTGCTGTTTTAATGCCGTCACAGTTACCCCCTTATTTATTACTTTCTTCCCACACCTTTGGAGCTTGCATTTTATCTCGTGTTTGGACTCTGGTGGCTAGTTTTATTTTTATTTAAGAAAACATTTATCAGACAGTTAAAGCAATTGTGGAAGTGTTGTTTTATTAATGGTGGTGTAGGACGTTATGAGAACAGAGCAGGAAAGTGCCTCACTGCTGCTCTTGGGGAGTCTCATTAGTTTGGCCTGAAAAGTTTTGTGGTGACAGAAGCAGGACTGGAACAGAGGTTGGGTAAAACAACTGGGAAATTAAGTTTCCTCTCTGGGAAAGGGTGCATAATTTGCAGCTAAAACCTTATTGGTGCAACCTTAGTAACCTGACTGAGGCTGCATCAGTCATTTCTGTGGGGGTAGAGCAGAGACAGATGCTGTACCCGTTAAGGTTTTCTTTTAATAAATGAACAGCAGCTTCTGCATAGCTGATGGGGTGGGGGTAGAGAGTGGAGGAGTGAGGGGTTGTGTTTTTTGGGGAGTTTTCCCACTAAACTGGCATTTTCTCTGCTTACAGTCGATGGAAATGGCAGCTCCTTCATGAAGCAGATGGTGTTTGGTGTGGTCACAGCAATGGACCTCCTCACCTTCGTCAGCAGAAACGACAAGAAGTAGCAGAGCAGCTCGGCTGCCCCCACATCCTCCAGCAGGGCCAGGTGTGCTCCCCAAGCCCAAAACGCCCGGCCAAGGGCACCTTCTGCTCTAATCCAGTGACAGTTTCTCAAAATTACTTAGGTGAAAATTGTAATGTATCAATATTTGTCTGCCAAATGCCACCCAGAGTGGCACTGAAGTGAAGATAACTAAAGAAATTGCATTTAATAGCCCTGTGTGGTTACACGGAGCTTCCCAGGGCTGGATGGGTAACATGGTGGGGTGGGGATGGACAGGGGAAGTTTGTTACTGCCTGGATTTTAGCAGGTGGGGGTTTGGTGTGTTTGCCAGCTGTAGGTACCTGTGCACTGCCCACGTTTGCAGCTGCTGCTGGTTGTCCTGGGGAGGGCAAGTTTGATCTTAATTTTGCTGTCAGGCTTATTGTGTCCTGGTAACTGATAATAAAGGCCAGAAGAGCCATTTGCCATGGGTGCCAAAAACATAAATGAGAACAAATGTGAAAAGAAAGCTGTGGGACCAAACTGAAGTGCCATTGAAACTTGTTTTGGGGGAGTTGCTCTCAAAAGACCCAGACATTTTTGCAATCTTTCTATGAGTCTCAGGAGCTGCTCCAAGGTAGCAACAACTAATTTTAATTTCGGCTTGCTGCTAAGTGGTTAGTCCATATTCTCAAACTAATCTACTTTGTAAGAGACTCTTATTAATTTATAGAATGCTGAAGTATTTATATTTAGGAAAATGTCTCTGCTGTCTATTGTTTCCTGTGTGACACAATCCCTTATGAGATCTGCAAGTTTTTACTGGAGCAATAACTGTATTTGTCCAGAAAAATAAAAATTCATTATCTTTACCTCATCATATTGCATTTATTTTAGCAATTCTGTTGCAAAGTGAAGGTTATTAGTCCATGAATGTATTCTCAACTCAAATGAATAACTTTTGAAGTGCTCCATAACTTCATGAAATTCAGAACTGAGTCTGAATCTGGACCAGCCTGGGACATGCCAGACCCTTCCTGGTGACTCTGACTTTAACATGTCCTTCTGTGCAACAGACCTGCCTGTGTGGAACAAACCATTCTAACAGGCTGCCCTCTCAGAAATTGTGTGTGTTCATGCAAAAGATATTCCCTTACCGTGAGTTTGAGCAGACACAAATGCAATATTTGATGTGCTTAAACGGAAGGTTTGCTTGCAGAGCTGGCTGCTGCCCAGGGTGCTGAGCGTGTGGCCTGTGGGGCTGTGCCTGGGCACTCACCTGGGAGTGCAAAAAGTGGTAACTTTCAGAAAACAATCAGCTGAAAACCCAGGTGACGGGTTGACAGCACGTAAGGACAGCCCAGGGTCCTGCTGCTCTGTAGCCCTTCACAGTGCTCATGGCTGCTATGGATTAGCCTAATGCTCCCAGCAGCAGCATCATCACCATCATCATCACCACCACCAGCAGCAGCAGCAGCAGCAGGGACAGGCTATGGGACACGCAGCTGCACTTCAGTGGGGGTGAAGTAACTGCTGAGTATTGACCACGAATATTTACAACTGCTGCTGTATGTTAACTATGAGTGTGGGAGCTGATAAAGTTGGGTGTGAGCTCCAGATATTTCAGGATTGCTCCACCTGGGCTGGAGCCAGGCTCGCCAAGGTGCTCCCGGGGCCCCCCTCCCCTGCCCCTGGGGGCTGCCCTTAGCAGGCACGTCCCACAGTGGCATTGCCTTGGTCAGGAGCGTTGGCATCAAGTCTCCTGTAGTTTGCACACAGACTGTGACCCTGAGGATGCAAATGTGCCCCACAGCATTCACCAGGGCAGAGCGCTGCCCCACCAGCACCCCAGAGTGCTGGGCTGGGGGTATGGGGTGGTGAGAGGGACTGGCTGGCACTGTCCTGACCACTCTGTTTCTGGGGTGGAAAAGGCCTCAGGAAGCAGGTTTTGTTTGACTTCTCTGCAGAAATCCCTGCAGAACCAATAAACACGTGCCCATATATAGCACTGGTGGCAGGAGCAATGAGCCCGAATCTCACCCACCACCCTCCATCCCCCTCCCCACATCCCTAGGGCTGCCCTCTGACAGTGATGACCCATTCCAGACAACTGGTCTTTTGTTTTCCTTCCCTTCCCACAAAGGCCCTGTCAATATTTTGTGTATCCAGTGATAGGCAGCTGCCCAACTCAGCACAGCTCAGTGCCCTCAGGTGGTGTGGGACATGGGGGTCCCACATATCTACCAGGAGAAGAGGGTTTTCCAGGTTAAAGGAGCGATTTTGTTTTCCCTCTGGGCATGGGCATCCACACCCCCAGCAGCCTGTGAGGTACAGGGGGACGCTGACACTCCAGAAACCCTGGTGAGGTCTGCACAGAGGGGTGTGGGGTGAGATGTCAGACCTGCAGACGCTGGGACACACCGGATTAGTCTGTGGTCAGACTAAACCAACACCACGAGCGAGATAACCATCTTGCTGGCCCTGCCCAGCCACCTTGGAGGTTTCCCCGCCTCCCCTGTCTCTCCCACCAGTGTTTCATCGTGGAGCCACCACTGGAGGCACATAAATAGAAGTCTGGGAGGGCTGTGGGGTGAAGACCAGAGACGCCTCTCAGGATCTTGCACTACATCCCAGCGCCTGTCCTGACTGCCCAGACACCCCACAGCTAACCAGGTAACCACGGGGACTTGGCACAGGGCAGGAGGGGAGGGCCTTGGCCAGCCTGGTTCTCCAAAACTAAGGGGGAGGACGAACATTTCACTAGGAAATAGCAGGAGGCAGCCAGGAGGGAGCTCTTAGTGTGGGGTTGCAGCAGCCTTTCCATAGGGAACGTGTTTGGGCTCCGTGCTGCTAGGCACAGCCATCAGTCCCCTGAGAATGATAGTAAAATAACCACTAGATTAAAATGTGTGAATGAAAGGAAGGGGCAGAACAGCTACTTACAGCAAAGATAAAGCTGTTACCAGCAATTTAACAAGCAAGAGTTTGCTGTAAAAACAGATAAGCTCAAAAGTCCTTTTTTTTTTTTTTCAAATTGATGACAGGTGGAGTTTGTGCTTTCAAGTTTTTTTTCTTTATGGGTATGCAAGTTGGAAATAAGTTTGTTTAAAGAAATGTTAAGAAGTAATTGCAAGTAGTTTCATGTCTGCAAGAGTAGGAAGTTTGGGCAATCAAATGCACAGCATGAAGGTAATGATATAATTGTAATCAAAGGTGGTGCAGGGGCAAAAGGAGAAGAGACCCAACCTGGAAGGACCCAGTCCAGGAGGTAGAGCAGGTGTATTTAATACAGCAGGAGTTAAGGTCACTCAGAGGGACAGAAGGGATCCAAAAGTGCGCTTAAGGAAATGTTGGGTCTTGAAAAGCTGTCAGTCTGAAAAAAAGAAATACACCCTGGAGCAGCAGCAGGGTCCCAATTACAGCCACAGGGAGAGCCACCAAAGCAGACAGTGCTTCTTTGAGCCCTTCCTGTGTCCATGCCTGAATGCCTCCCAGGAATAATTAATGAGTCACTTAAACATAAATTATTAGCATCAGTATAGTGGTGAACAAGTGCCACTTGAAGGCCAGGGCAACTGTGCCAAAGCTCAGTGTTTGCTGCAACGTGGACTTTGCTCACTCAGTGCCCACGTTGCAGCTGTCTGAACACCTGGGGGTGGAGGACACCGTGGTCAAGCCAGGATGAGCTTTTGGGAAAAACACTTTACGTTTTAGAGCAAACTCTCCTCCAGCCAGCTGTGGACGACCAAAACTGCAGCCATGGGCATGCCAGGGAGAAGTGGCTGCATCCCCCTTGCTTTAAACCACGGAGGGGTCAGCCCAGAATTTGGGGGATTGATGTGCCCGTGCCCAGTGTGACACCTGCTCCTACATTCCCCTTTCCCTCCCCAGAAACATCTCCTCTTTCCCTCCCAGGAACATGGCCCTCACCGGCGCCCTTCGCCTGCTGCTCACCTGCCTCCTGCTCCACAGCGCGGCCCCAAAACCCATGTGTGACCCCAGCACCTGCCCCCCGTGCCCCGAGAGGGTCCTGGAGGGGCCAACCACCGCCACTGCCTGGGACTGCTGCCCCCCCTGCCCCCCGCCCTGCCCCTGCCCGCCCTACCTGGAGAGCGAGTGTGAGCTGCAAGGCTTCTCCAGCGGCCGCGTCCCCGCCGGCCGCTCCTTCTACATCGACTTCGCCCGCAAGCTGTGCACCTGCCACCCCGGGGAGGGCATCACCTGCACCCCTCTGTGCCCACCCCTGCCCCACACCTGCCAGGCCGTGGGCAGCCCCGTGGCCGACGGGTGCCCACGCTGCGTCTGCTACGACCAGGAGGAGATGGCAGTGCCCGCCGGCACCACCACCACCCGCGGCACCCAGACCTGCTCCTGCCCTCCCCAGGGGGGGCAGCTGCAGTGCAGCGGTGGGGAGGGCAAGGAGTGAAGCTCCTCTCCTCTGGCAGCGTCCTCGCTGAGAGGTGTTGAACGCTTCCAACTGCCCTGGAGGACTTGGGGGTTGTCACGGCCGTGCCACGGAGCGCTGGAGAGATGCCACCTTCTCTGTCATTTATACGCCAGGGCAGAATGTCTGTAGGGCTTGCTTGGTTGTAAGGTTTGTTCACAGCTTGTTGTAAGGTTTGTTGTCTGATCACAGCAATGGGCCATGAGAGCTCAGACTGACTGCTGCTCACATGTAACTGGAGCAAAACGCAGCTATTTATTTATTTGCGAGACGGTTCTGCTTTTGTATGTGTTTGTGTTTATATAGGCTGTTTATATTAAACTCGCTGGATAAACTTCCTCTCAGGAGCCAGGTTTTTGCTTCCTGTAATTCCATGGGGTTCAAAATGGTGGGATCAAAATCAGAGGATGGTCTGACACCTTCTCTACTATCTTGTCATGGGGTGGGAGGAGGAGGTGGGTTGGCACAGGAATGTGTTCTTGGGAGGCAAACCCCTTTCATTTCTCCGTTTTCACCATTTCACCATTCATTTCAAGGCAAAGCCTTGAAGACCCACATAAGGATGTTGGCAGTCAAGGCTCAGTCCTTCACAGCCACCTCAGTGTTACCCAGGACTGACCTCGCTGTCAGTCCCTGCTGTGTCCCAATTCAGCAGGAATATCCCAAATTCCATGTCGGTGGCTGTGTCCTCTGGAGACAGGCTTGGGACAGCAGAACTTCACCTTCTGAATCCTTTGACATATATAGATATACACACACATGCCCTATACATATATATATATATATGCAGGGATACATTACTAAAAACCACAGCTTATAAAATCAATGTTACCAATGAACTTTTGAACACTTTACTGTTAAGGACACATATACTTTCCTCATGTGTTAGCTGGTGGTACTTGGGCCACACAAGCCTCTCTCCAACCACCTTTGCCCCAGGTATACCTGGAAACTTTAAATATGTACCCCAGTTTGCTTTCATTTTCTTCTCTACTACTCTGCTCGATGCTGTTTGACCACAAAAAACACAATGATAAGATGGGATTCAGGTGGAGGATTAAGAAAAGGTTGGAGGAAGCAGGTGAATTTGATTTTTAGGGTAAAACAAGGGTCCCCTTCATTGGGGCTGTCAGAGACTGACCCTGTCCAGGGCTCTGGTGAGCCTTGGCCAGAGACATGAGAGCTCAGCACATCCCAATAAATGCTGCACCTTAAAGCTGGGCCTGGGGCATAAGGACACCTGAGTGACCCCCCTTGGCATGGCCACCCCACTGATGGCCCTTGGCTGGCACCCTCCAGCTCAGGCATTTCCCACATCTAGAAGGCTCTTGGGATTAAGAGGGGAACAGTGGTTTGGGGCTCTGCACTGGGAAGTTTGAAAGCACACAGAAATGATGTGGTCAGGACATAAGGGCGTGTGTTCTATGTGGAGCCAGGGCAGCTGGGATACTTCCTTTCCCTGGTCCTGCACCAGCTGCTGTGGGGATGGGGAAGCAAAGGAGCAGGAGAGGAGGATGTCTTTAATGGGAAAAGTACCCCCCCCAGGTGCCTGATCTGCAACTGGAAAACTCCCCAGCAGGGACAGGATGAGCCTTGCAGCCACCACCCACCCCACAGCACCAAAGTGCTCCCCAGTTTCACCTCCTGCCCGTGTGATTCCAGAAAACCACAGAGAACCTGAGGGCTGGTCTGGGGGAGGATGAGCCACTCGCTGCAAACCCAGACGTGACACGGCCTCACAAAACCTCCCACCCAACATGGGAAACCACAGGAGCCCCTGAGCTGAGCTGCCTTTGGGCACCCAGCAATTCCTGCAGCACTTGCTGGGTTGAGAAACTCCTCACTTGTGACAACCAGCAGGTCAGGAAACAGTCCCTGTTACTGCCCTCTGGATTTTTGAGGTGGGTGCTACAAGAGCAGGCAGATGGACACTCTGGATGTGAGATAACACTGACAGTGTGACAGACAACACACAGCTCCTCCTCCACTGATTGTATTGCAGCTGAGCCGTGGGAAGGGGTCAGAATCCCCCATCCCTGAGCAGCCAAAGTGCCCACACTTCCCCATGCTCCAGCTCCAGCTGGCTGTGAGGGCTCCCAGCTCCAACACAAACTGAGTCCCCGGCCTCACACACATCCCTGCCCTGCTCCCAGAGAATCACAGAATGGTTTGGGTTGGAAGGGACCTTAAAGATCATCTAGTTTCAGTCTCCTGCCATGGGACACCTTCCTCTAGCCCAGGTTGCTCAGAGCCCCATCCAGCCTGGCCGTGAACACTTCCAGGCATGGGGCTGGAACTTCTTTGGGCAACCTGTGCCAGTGCCTCACCAACCTCACACCCCCTCACCCAAAGAATTTCTTCCATCTATCAAACATAAATTTCCCCTCCTTCAGTTTGAACCCATTATGTCTTGTCCTGTCCCTTATGAAAATTCCCCCTCCATCTTTCTTGTTATCTCCTTCAGGTACTGGAAGGCCACAATTAGGTCACCCCAAAGTCTTCTCCAGGCTGCACAATCCCCGTTCTCTCAGCCTTTCCTCGCAGGAGAGCTGCTCTCTCCCTCTAAGGATGGGAAAGGGGGTTTTACCTGATGACCCTTCCCCTCTGTTCTTCCCAATTTGGTGTAAAAATTTTAATAGCTAGAAAGGTTAAAGCTCACTGCCACCTTCCAGACAGACACCAGACATTCCGTGCTGCCGTGCCCACCAGCAGCACAAGAAATTCTTCCCATTACAGGTTTTTAATTAGGTGCTGTCCAGGTATTTACAAAGAGCTGAAGGAATTCACATCCTGTACGTGCTTGCAAGGCGTGAGCGTTTGAGTCCACAGGGTTTGCAAGCACAGTTATGGGTTTTGCAAGCAGAGGGATTATTTGGAAGGAGTCATGAGGGATTTGGGAGACTCTCTGCTGCCTGGGGAGGCTGGTGGGCTGCTGGGGTAGTTTATCCTTTGTCACACATCTTATCTGCCACACTGCTTCCCTGCCTGGTGTGACTGATAACCTTTGAGCAGGGGAGAATGACCCACAGATGGGTACAGCCCCTGAATAATATGGGATTTGTGTGAACGCTCTTTATCCAAGCTCAGCACAGGAACAATGAAAGAGTTATTCTTCAAATATCTGTGCAGTAAAGTCCCCACAGGCCCCTTTTTTAAGCCGCCCCTTGGAGGTGATAAAGAGTTTCTTTGCTCTGCCCTCACCTCTGATTTGAAGACACCTTCCATCTGGAGCCTCTGCCTGTAAGTCTCACAGGATCTCTGTCTGCATTTCATCACATTGGAAGAAGAATTATTTTACTTTTTCCTTGAACAGCAACAGCACAGGGACAAAAGAGAGGAAAAAAAGCCCAAACCCTGTTCAAAGACCCCAAGCAGTTGTCAGAATTCATTCATTTAAGTATAATGTCTTGGGTTTTCAGCATGCTTTACTTGAATGGGTGTTGTCCTGGATTCCCCGACACTGATCACCCCTGTGCTTGTATACACTTTGGACACAGTGTTGCTGGAATTATTTATATTTTCCCAGGTCAGATTTTCCCCATGGCCCGGACAAGGGGGTGGTTTTGTGGATACTCATTGACGTGGTCACTGTCACTTTGTATGTTGCTTTGCTCCTGAGAAACATCTACAACTTACCTGGAAGCACATGCCTGGCTGTGATGCAAACTCCTGTGCACCCCTAAACTAGCCCTGAAAATTGAGGCAACAGCTGAAATTTGCAGCTCCTAAAAAGAGCTCATTTTACATGTAGTGCAATCACATTTGGGGGGGTTGTTTTTGTTCTTCAGTGTCCCATAACTTTGTCAAAGATCATTACTGATTCTTAGTTAGTTGTGGAATCAACAGGGCCTTTCTTTGTTGCATTAATCATAGAATCACTGATTTAAACAGAACCATGTTTTGTCCATCTGTCCTTTTTTAACATGCCCTCTCAGTTCCTGTCTCATGAGGCTGTACAATATTAGGGTGTACAATATTCATGAGTGAAAAAAGCCCATCCTTTGGGCACAACTACACCCAGTGCCAAGAAGTTGAAGTATTTACCCAAGTCCTTCTACCTTTCCTGACAACCTGCCAGGAGTTAATTCCTTCTGTGTGGTTCACCAAAAAGCTTTTAGCAAACCCAGCCTGGATCTGCAAAGCCCAGGTGTTGGGGGGATGGCTCCCTGTCATTTTTTCTAGGTATTGTGTTCTTAAGTTATCAGAAATCCTGATCCATGGCAGGTTCTGCACTTGTGATTTCTGATCAGGATGAGAACAATGAGACAGAGGTTTCCTGGAGAATCCCCTGATTTAACTAAACTGTACCCACTCAGTGTTGGTAATGGACCAACTGCATCTTCCTAGAAATAGTTTTTCTTTAAAACTGGGGGGCAGGGAGAGAGGCAACGTTTGACACTGTCTTTTGAATGTGTTCCTTACAGAAAACTTTAAGCATATGCAGGTGCCCTGACACGACAGTGATGACATGCACAAACCAGCAAATGGCACAAGGATGGGAACTAAACTTGCACACACAAGTGTGTGATTGGGTTTTAACATACACAGAAAAATACTATAAAGTAAAAGCTGACCCACACCAGGACACTGAGCTGAAGTAGATTTTTAGAAAATGGGACTTCTTCCCAGACCCCCTTTGGCAGGGTGAAAAATCAGGGGAGGTAGTTCTGAAGAAACTGAAAACACTGTTGCAGGGTATTGAGTGCTGATTGTCAGCTGTTCTCTCTCTGTTACAACTCACAGCCTTTCCTTCCTCTGTGTGGGTGGGCAGGGGAGACCAAAAGAGTAGATTTGGCATTTAAAACAGATGTCCTCTGGGAACAGCAGAGGTGACACTTGGGTTATCTTAGTCAAAACTGCAGGACAGCAAGCAAGGGGCTGCAAAAGAAGAGGGATTTAATAGTCAGGAGTTTTTCAGGGCAAACTCAATATATGCACATTTGATGCAGTGTACATTTTGCTTCTGAAATTTAAAACGGAAATGTGTTTTTCTGATCAGTTAATTTCTTTAAATTGAGGATTTGCATGATTTAATAGAGAGGGGTTATGCACGTTTCCCTAAGATGTGCATATTTTGTGGTGCAGAGTACTAAAGTACCCATTTCTATGACTAAAACCTTTTACTGGAACAAACAAAAACATTACAAAAAAGCCTGGACATGAAAAAAGTGACACATTCATGTGGGAAAATAGCATACATATTGCTTTAGGGTCAAAGTGATTTCTACAGGACAAGTGGAAAGGGTGCAGCAGGGGAGGTTCAGGTTGGACATCAGGAAGAATTTCTTCATGGAAAGGGTTGTCAAGCATTGGAAGGGGCTGCTCAGGGAGGTGGTGGTGCCTCCATCCCTGGAGGTGTTCAAGAAATGACTGGACGTGGGACTCAGTGCCATGGTTTAGTTGACAAGGTGGAGTTTGGTCAAAGGCTGAACTTTATCTTGGAAATCTTTTCCAGCTTTAATGATTCTGTGATTCTACTCCATGATTTAGCTTCAGTGTGCATCTCAGTTGTGTATCTGCACTAAGGACATCTCTTTTTTCAGTTATCATTCCAATACTGCATCCATAGCAGCATCCAAAACTCATTTCTGGAAGGCTGTTGGGCTTTTTTCCAGTACCTGGCTTTGAATCCTGGAATGACCTGCAGAGTCATTATTCATGGCT